GTGTGTGTGTGTGTGTGTGTGTGTGTGTGTGTGTGTGTGTGTGTGTGTGTGTGTGTGTGTGTTTACAGTAACGCAGGATATGGAGGCATGTTTTGCTTTAAGTTGAATTGAGTGTAAATCTCCTCCTCGGTGTGGACTAAATACGCTGCAGCTTCCTGCCTCATGGCACGCCGTGTGTGTCAGTAAATAATGATGATTGCATTAAAGATCCAGTTTGACCACATTTAATCCTGTTCAGCCTCACAGGCGTCTGTTTCAGCAATGTTAGTTTGATTTATGAACTACTTTTAAAATAACTGAGGTGGAGCAAAGTGTGTTAGGTCCAAACCAGATAAGAAAATATGTTTTAAAAAAATTCTATAAAAACTTGAGAAATTAAATTTTCTGTAAAAATGCATTGTGAACACTGAACAATTGCTGCAATTATCTAAAGAGGCTAAAACTAAAAACACAAACTTAAAAGTCAATTTTGCAACAGATTAGCTACAAGCTAAATGTATCGATAGACTAATTAATGGCTAAAAGTAGCCGAATAGTAGCTACATGTAAAAAGTAGCAAAATGCTAAACAAAAGCTTAAAGTAGCTAAAAGAAAGTTAAAAGGAAGATAAATCAAAAGGTTAAAAACTAAAAGTAGACGAAAGGCTAAAAGAAGCAAGTTCCCGGAGGTTGATAAAGCGCTAAATGTTGCAAAAGGTTAGCTGATAGTAGTAAAATTCTAAACAATTAAAAAAGTCAAATGTAACAAATGCCAGCTAATACTTAAAATAGCAATAGGCTAGCTAAAAGCTAAAACAGCAAAACAATTTACATGCAGCAAACATTTGTGAGATAAAAACGTAAGCTAAATTTTTTTAATGTTTGGACTGATTGGTATAAACATACAGTATAAAGCTCAAAACTAGATGAATCTAAAAGTAGCAAATAACTAGTTAAAAGGTAAAATCATCAAAAGGCTAGGTTAAAGATAAAATTAAAAGAAAAAAGTCACAAAATAAAAACAAAGTTATACAATGGTAGCCAAATTCTAAACAAACCAAAAGGTTAGATAAAAGCAACAAAACAAGAGCTGTAAATGAAAAAAACAAAAAACAAAATGCTAACAATGCTAGTTCAATTATTTAGAATGAATATATTATTTTTTAATTATTTAATAAAAATGTGTCCTTGAATAAACATGGTGAATAAATCTGACTCAGGCCCAGGGATCTTTTTAACCCAAGAACAGCAGGAGGGACAGTCAGGCGTACCCTCCTGTTTATGATCTGTAGGGTTTTTATATCCTGGGGAAGAAGTGCACTTTAACTGACTTAAAAACACCAGAGAATCCAGTTATTCAAGTTCTGGGTTAAAAAAAAAGACCAAACACATTAAACAAAGAGCTGGAAACTGGATTGGGATGAGGAGTGGCAGGACCAGTTTCCATGAACAAAGAGCAGAGAGGCAGGCAGGGTGTGCAGGACCTGAGGTATGTGTGCTTTAGTAAACACAGCTTACAGAACCTGGTAGAGAAGAAGAAAAAAAGAGAACAGGACACGTCTGACTGTGCAGCATCACCAAAGAAAGTGGGACAGAAAGAAAAAGAAAGGAGGAAACGAGAGGCGCAGGTGAGGGTGGAGTTAGGAAACCACAGGAGGTGGAGAGAAGGGAGACAAACACGAAGCAGCAAATTGATCCCCTGAGCCGGACAGATCACCTGAATGAAAACAAGACGATGAGGATCTGAGGAGCTGAAGCAAGACTCCACGATCTGCTGACATCATGTTGGATCTGACTGTGATGGAAGGAACCATAAAACAGCAATAACAGAATTTAACTTTATTTTTATCTGAAGTTCATAAACACACAAGGTGAGGATCTAATTGTTTGCTCTGTATTTACACCTGTCTGTTCCCGAGAGACAAAACCAAGCAGGCAGTTTGAGCTGATTTCTGCAGAATAATTCTATGTAATGAAAACCTTACCATTATTTTTTACATTTGTTTAATTATTACATATTATTTTTAGCCTGAGTCGATGTTCTTTATGCTTAAGTACTGGGTGTGTAGAGAAACACAAGCAGAAAATAGGCAAAAAAAAAAAATGCAGATAAACAGGTTTAGACTTATGATGTAAAAGGATGATGAGTTTCCTTGTGTGGCTCAAATGTCTTCTATACTCCTATATGGCATAACTTAAAAAAACATCAGTAAATCAGTCATACAGCTTAAAGATTGTTTGGTTACTGATTATTTCTGTGTCATTGGTTGATATTTGACTAAAGATGTTGACTAAAATATGTCTTTATAAGAACACTGCCTTTGTTGAGCTGGGTATAAAAAATAAAGACTAAATAAAAAAAAGCTTGGGCACGTTTGAAACCCAACATGTGAGGGTTTTAGTTACACAATCAGCCCAACACCTTTTCTCACTGGTTCCGTGTCACGTTACTGTCAACAGATAAAACATGAATGTCAGGAAAACCTGTTCTTCTGCAACAATCTGTACATCTGCAGTATTGTTGTGTTTATCTACAACAACGGCTGCTTCTATGTAAAACAACCAACACAAAAACAGCATGTTTTCTGTAAAAATTGGGGAAAACGAATGTGATGTTTCTCAGTGATGTGTCTCACTTTGGGTCACCCCAGGACAAATGAACTTTGCTTTAAATCTGTCCGTTTTTCTTTCAGTTGACAAGATGTCGACAAACTCAAATCATCTCTGCCAACGGGGAGACACAGTCTGTGGTAAGTTGCATCACTCCTCTTTCACACTAAGCCCAAAGATCAAACTTCAGCTCAACATCTGTAAACCAAACTGAGTTATAGCTGTTCATGCATTGGCTAATGTCAACTAGCTGCGACGGCCATGTTGAACTGGATTGACTCCAAATGTTTATTACTTGTAGAAATACATCCAACGATTACTTCCTGAAAGTTTTATTAAAATCAGTCTATTAGTTCATGGGATATTTTGCTAACAGACAGGATTGACTCTAACAGTTAATGCTGAAGATTTAAAGATGAATAGCACTTGGATTATAAGTACAACACCTCCGCAACTACCACACAAAATTTTGGCACAATAAATACAAAACCAACTGAATTATAGCCATTTTTGTGTTTCTTAAGATCAGCTGGATGTGCTGACCGTATTAAATTCGTTTGGCTTCAGATGTTATTCAGTTGTAGATGTACATCCAATTAATTCTTCCTGAATGTTTCGTTAAAATCCAATTAGTGGTTCATGAGATATTTTGCTAACAACAGGCAGAAACTACTCCAAATATTTAGGGCAAAGTTTTCAACAAAGATCTTGCACAGTCTGTTGGTGCTTGGGGTACTTGTTGGGAAACAGTCTCAGCCACAATCAAACGAAAGTTACGTATGTAACTACGGTTCTATGAATCCTGAATGACCGCCAGAGGGCGGTGCTAAAAGCACTGAATGTTCCCTTCGCGCATGCGCCGTTCGAGCTGTAATACCAACAGAGTCACACCTGTGACCAATCGGATGACTAATCAGAGGCTATATAGCTTGACGTCATCCGAAG